GAGCAGAGCTGGGAGCCAGTGCTGAGCATCACTGCATCCTGAGGGACGTAGGAACGGATGAGGCAGCTCTGGGCAGCAGAGCTGGGAGCCAGCAGTGAGCACTGCTGCATCCTGAGGGATGCAGGAAGCAGCCACTCAGCCCTGGGCCATGGAGCTGGAAGCAGCCAGCAGTGATGGCAGAATGAGGCCGCTGGCAAGGCTCCCAGGGCACTGTTATTTTAAAGCACAAAGGTTTTAACCCTGAAGCAAAACATTAACATTTGCAGTGGTTAAGGAAGCAAGGGGTGCTTCAAGACAAAGCAGGAGCCCCTGCCAGGCTGCACAAAGACAGCCACCCCAGGAATCTGCTGTTCTCTAGGCTGGGTTGTCATCCCACCCACCCATCCCAGGTCTTCTCAAACCCTACTGAGGGTCAGCTTTGAGTCCTTAAGAGGCATGGGCCCTGCACCACTGCTTACAAGGATGCGTTCACTCTGGTCCCTACTGATGGCTGAATGAATGCAGACTTTGCTGCAGACAGGCAACAAAAGGATGGCAGACACAGGGTGGAGCATGCCTGAGGGCCACTGTGGAACACCTCTTTCCACAGAAAGCCACCCCTGAAGCTTTTTGGCTTCTGGCATGGGCGAGGTGGAAGGGAGAAGGTGCCACAGGCAGAGCCACAGTACGCTAGCAGGGCTTGGAGGGCACATCAGGCTGTGAAGCCCTCTGCTCCCACCCCAGGGCCACCCTTAGCCCCATCCCTACCTCCCGGCGTGTGGAGCGGATCAGGATCTTCAGTGTCCGGTCGATGTCCTTCTCCAGCTCTGCTTCCGCGACACCCTGCACATGGAGGGGAAAAAGCAAGGTGGGTGATGCCGCTCCTCCCCAGGGACCCAGCCCACCCCAGGGGTGGATCCTGCCATCCATCTGGGCTCAGGTGGAGGCTGGGAATGGTTTCTTGGCAGAGTCCAGCATGGGAACAAGGTCTGTCAGGCGCCGCACAAGCCACTTACAGCTGGAGGGACAGCAAGAGCCCCACAGTGTGGCATCCTGGCTGTGGGGCTGGCGATGCCCATCCATGAGCTGGGGACCCCAACATGGGCATGGCCTCATCCTGGGGGTGGAGTTAAGCCCCAAGAGAAGGGTGAAGGATAAAAACTGTGGTCCTGGACTCACCGGCTCCTGGAAGTAGAACTGGTAATCAAAGGTGGGGATACTTTTCATCTTCTCCACAATGTCCACAGACTGCTCGGGGGGTCGGTACGGGGTGTTCAGCGAGGCTACAGCTCTGGAACATCATGGGGAAGACACAGAGTCAGGTTCACACCTGGCTTTGGGGTGCCCAGCATGAGCGAGGGCTTTGCTCTGGGCATGGAATGGGAGGGCAGGATACAGGGCACTGTTAGGGACTGGGGAGGGGGGTTAAGACCAATCCCCAAGAAGCCACGCACATGGCACGGACCCACCTCACCCTCTCAGGGTAGAACAGAGCCATGTTCCAGACCACGGCACCGCCCCAATCATGGCCAACCAGCACGGTCTGAGGGATGCCCTGTGGGGAGAGGGTCCATGAGCATGCCCCCACAGCAGCACCCAGGGAGCACCTCCAAATCCTTCACAAAAGCCGCACTCAACAGGCATCAGCAGGAGATAGAGGGGATCTGCCTTCCTCCAAAGCAGCAAACAGAGCAGGAAACAGCAGTATTTTCCTTTTCTCCCCCCATTTATTTTCCTTTTTTTTCCCCCCCAAGGAAGAAGCATTACCTGATCCGCCAGAACAATTTGCTGCAACTTCATTAAACATTTCAAGTACCTGAGCCCTCCAGAGGCAAGGGATTTATTATTACCCACCAAAAACATGTCTGGAGGCTACTCATCCCTTGGGATGATCCATATGGGTGCCTCCCCTCCCCCATCATCACACAGGGAACATCATCTTATAACTGCAGCCAAATAAATCCCTGCCCCTCCAGGAAGCAGCTTACAGCATCCCCCATGCCTGTGTGGATCCTGCCTGGAGCTCACTGTCCCCCCTCCTCCATTCTATTTTCCTGACCCCTCTGGGCACCGACAAATAAATCCACTTAAACCTGCGCTCCCAACAATGGAGCAGCCAGTTCATAATTAGCTGATATTTAGAAGCATAATTAAAATTCCCTCCCAGCAGACATGTCTCTGCTCACTGCCGTCTGACAGCGCAAAACACAGTGTCCAAACCCCCCCTACAAGGGGGGCAGAGGGGTTGGGGGGTCCCAGCATCTCCCAGTGCTGATGTGGGGCTGAGTAGGTCCCCCCATGCTGATAGGTTTCATCCCACCATCACTGTCCTGGCTCCTGGACTGCTCTGCATCTTCTGCATCCCAGATCAGACATCATATGGAGCTTCATGAAGTCATTTATCACCCCTAAAATCCCGTAGGATGTACCAGGGGAGGAAGAATGAGCACCCCAGGGGGGAGAGGTGCAGGATGGGCCTGATGGTTGTGGAGAAGCAGGGAAATCCCATCATATGGGATGCCACCACTTTATATCCCATCTATCAAGCTCACCCTGAAGCAAAGTGGGCACTCACCCGCTTGCCAGGCTGCACATCAACAGGCATCTTTCAGTCCATTTTCCTTATTTCTATTCCAACAGGAAGGCAATTCTCCAGCAAAGGGATGTGATTTAAGGGATGCCATCCAGAGGGACCTGGACACACTTGTGAGGTGGCCAATGCCAACCTTATGAAGTTTAACCAAGCCAAGTACAAGGTCTTACACCTGGGTCAGTACAACCCCAGGCACAGCTACAGGTTGGGTGAAGAGATTCAGAGCAGCCCTGTGGAGAAGGACTTGGGGGTGCTGGTTGATGAGAAGCTTGACATGAGCCAGCTTCAGTGTGCGCTTGCAGCCCAGAAACCAACCATATCCTGGGCTGCATCTAAAGGAGTGCAACTAGCAGGTCGAAGGAGGTGATCCTGCCCCTCTACTCTACTCTGCTCTCGTGAGCAGAGAGCTGTATTGTGTCCAGTTCTGGTGTCCTCAACATAAAAAGGACATGGAGCTGTTGGAGCAAGTCCAGAGGAGGGCCACGAGGATGATAAGAGGACTGGAGCACCTCCCGTATGAAGACAGGCTGAGAAAGTTGGGGCTGTTCAGCCTGAAGAAGAGAAGACTGCGTGGAGACCTCATAGCAGCCTTCCAGTACCTAAAGGGGGCCTACAAGGATGCTGGGAGGGACTCTCATTAGGGACTGTAGTGGTAGGATGAGGGGTAATGGCTTTAAACTTAAACAGGGGAACTTTAGGTTAGATATAAGGAAGAAGTTCTTCACAGTGAGGGTGGTGAGGCACTGGAATGGGTTGCCCAAGGAAGTTGTGAATGCTCCATCCTTCGAGGTGTTCAAGGGCAGGCTGGACAAAGCCTTGGGCGACATGTTTTAGTGCAAGGTGTCACTGACCATGGCAGGGGGGTTGGAACTAGATGATCTTAAGGTCCTTTCCAACCCAAACCACTCTATGATTCTATGTTCCTCACACGCTCAGCACCAAACCACAGCTACAGTTCCCATGATGCCTGGTCCCCTCCCAGCTCCGGCACAAAACCACCACCACTTCTCCAACAAGGAGCCCTCAAGGGTTTTTTTTTCTCCTTGTTTCTTGTTCTACCCCCTACACTTCATCTCTTTTAAAAGGCACAGAAATCAACCCCATCCCCTTGCTGGGATGTGAATTAAACCTGGAACTCCCAAACTCAAATGAGATGACACCATATATGAGCTGTGCCAAGGGGAAGAG